GTTGTTGTTACTGTTGTTGATGTTGATGATGTTGATGACGTTGATGATGTTGATGATGTTGATGAAGTAGTTGATGTTGCTGTTGATGATGTTGTTGATGATGTTGTTGATGATGATAATACTGTGGATAAGAATGATGTTGGACATGGTGTCGTTGGTACTGATATCGTAGTCGGTTCTATTTTGAAAAAATGATTTTAGAGTAAGACTAAACGATCGGATAAGATTTGTTTCCTCTTCTGTCATAATGTAGCAACGTTAAATATGAGTTGATTATGATAAAATAGAAAATGTTGAAATGATTTAGATTATAATTGTAATTCTATGATATCTACTTTAGTTATATCTCTATTATAATAATCAATCCGTCATTAAAATACAAATGTGTTCAATAGCTCTGTCAAGTTGTCTTAGTTCTCGATAACTTGAAATTATTTTTCAAGAAGATAAATTCTTGTCTCTCACAGATATATTTACTTCATAAATCTCCTCTATTTTTATACTGACCTGATGGAAATCGTGTTCCACTAATAACATTCATACTAGTAGCATCGACATCAGCCAACATATTTCCATTTTGGTTCAACATATCAGCAAATAATTCACAATTAGAAGTTGATCGATGAAAAGTAGCTACTCTGCATTGACTTTGAGTTAAACAGGCTACTTGACAACTCCTAATGTTTGGTGTAATAATAGTAATGAATGGTAAACATGTTATATTGGCGCATTGAAATTTAGAATCAGGTATTAAAGACATAATCATTGATTGTGTATCTTCTCCGACTATATGTGTAACAATCATAAATAAAAGCCATAAACAATCTCTTCTTGAAGCCATCAATCACCAGGTTTTAAGTTGATGAAATGAATTCAATTCCTAATAGAAGACAGAGTATTTATTGAGCAATACATTCTTTTTTCTCTCTTTTTTCAGTAAGTGCTGCATCGTTTTTTCCCAGAATTCATTTCATCAATTTAATCAAAAAAAATAGTCAGGACTCTTTTTTCTCCGAACTCATTTCATCAGTTTAATCAAAAAAAATAGTCAGGACTTTTTTTATTTTCAGAAAAACTAATTCATTCGGAAACATGATTTTTTTTGCATGTTTAACTGTTATTTGAGGACAAACATATTTATAAATAGAGCTTATAAGTTATACCAAGAATGACTGATTCAACAAAATTGAAATTTCAAAAGATAATATAATTAACACTTAGTTAGAGATGAAGTTTTCTATAAAAATCAAAAAAAATCAATTGAAATTTGTTTATATATTGAAATTTGAATACTTCAAATTTATCTCATAGACTATACGATATATCAGTGAACTGGTAGATTATTCATATAGAATAAAGTCAATGTTTAATATCTAAACGAAGAATAATCAAATCAGTTGTTTGATTAGACAAGAAAACTGAACACTTCTTCAAAATCAAGCACACTCGAATTAGATTTTTCGAATGTCTATAACATAAAGTAGAGCAACATTTCGAAAATCTCTCTTTTTCTTATGCTTCCATTTTTGACTAGTTATAATTTATAATTCAATTGATAATCATATTTTTCTTCATCAATATGAAAATGATTCCAACAATTGAGATTCATATTTATGTAGAATCGTGTTAGCAGCATATTCGCTATATAAATTAAAATAAATAGTATTTTATTATTCTAAACAAAATTAAATAGTTGTTTATGATAACAACACATTTTGACGTACATTTTTCTCAATAAAAAATGTCCATCCAGAAAATGTTTTACTCATTTTTCTTTCATCTACATGTTACTATGATGTATTAATGTATTATATTATGTAGACAAAAGAAGAAAGAATTAGTTGAAAAATCTTGTAGATTTTTCTTCAAAAAGGAAATGATAGAAATAGAGAATTTGTGAACACATCCAAGTGTCGTATTATCATTATAATACAAACTATGTTGTTTCACAAAAAAAAGTACATCTAAATAAATATTAATGCAAAGAAAAAGTTAACTTCTTTTGTGAATAGAAAACAACATATCCATGATTACATTACAAAAACTATTAAACAGTTGATGACGTCTTTTCTTTCTTTTAATATTTTGTTTAGAAAAAGTATTCTTTCTAAGTTTGAATATATCATGTACAACAACAAGATATATGATTTTTCCGACGACTAAACGTTGTTCTTCTGCTTCTCTTTTCAGTGTAGCGAATCTTTTTTTTCTCAACTCATTTCATCAATTTAATCAAAGAAAATAGTCAGGACTCTTTTTTCTCCAAATTCATTTCATCAGTTTAATCAAAAAAATAGTCAGGACTTTTTATTTTCAAAAATATTAATTCATTTGAAAAGATGATTTTCCTACGTGTTTAACTGTTATTTGAGGACGAATATGTTTATAAATAAACTTTTTGTGTTATATGAAGGATGATCGATTCAACAAAATTGAAATCTCAAAAGATAATATACTCTACATTTAGTTAGAGATGAAGTTTTCTATAAAAAAAAACAAAGAATAAATTCTAATGATATTTATTCATATATTCGAAATGTGAATATTTCAAATGTATCAAATAGACTATACAATATATCAGTAAACTGTGACATCATTCATGTAGAATAAAGTATATCTTTAGTATCTAAACGAACAACAATCAGATAAGTTGTTTGATTAGACAAGAAAACTGAACACTTCTTCAAAATCAAACACACTCGAATTAGATTTTTCGAATGTCTATAACATAAAGTAGAACAGCATTTTGAAAATCTTTCTTTTTGTTATTCTTCCATTTTCGATTGATTATAATTTGTAATTTAATAGATAATCATATTTTTCTTCATCAATATGAAAATGATTCAAACAATTGAGATTTAGATCTATGTAAAATAGTTTTAATGCAGAATAAAACATTTTATTTATTAAATAAATTAAAATAAACAGTTGTTAAGTATTCCAAAATCGCCAAAATAACTGTTTACCATAACAATATGTTCAAAACGTTATTTTTCTCGATGAAAAATATTCATTCAGTAAGTGTTTTCCCTATTTTTTTCATTTGTATGTTGCTATGATGTTTTATGCATGCAGAAAAAGAAACAGAAAACTGGTGAAATCATATAGAGCTATTATAATCACAATAATAGAAACTCTGTTGTTTCTTAAAAAGAGTATTGCGTATGAATAAAATAATGGTGGCATCAAGAAGTTAACTTTTTCTCAATAGAAAACAGATTCACAATCATTACACAAGAAATACTAAGTTGATAACATGTCTTTTCTTTCTTCTAATATTTTGTTAAAGAAAAACAGGAAAAATATGTTTTCAAAGTTTGAATATAACATACATTACTCCAAGATAAATGATTATTTCCGATAAATAAACATTTGCTTTTTTCTATTTCAAATTCTAATAACAATGGATTGTGTACTAAAGAATATGTTATATATGAAAATTATAATGCTAATGTTTATCGACAATACAATATTCGTCTCGAAATTTTATATCTGTTATAGAGGAAATTAAAATTTTAATTTGCCCTGGATTTCAGTTTACTCTATAATATCAATCACTATTAAATTAGTACCATTTGAAGGGTATTCTAATAAGTTTGCTGACGAATTTATCCGATGAGGTAAACACGTTCGAGCGATGAATGGACTGGTATCAAAGTCGAGTGGCTCAGATAAGTGAAGTAAAGCAATGTCATTTCTCAATCCATGAAATGGTCCTGTATAATTAGGATGTGCAATTATTCTATCCACTGTTCGAATTGTTTGATTTATTTGAACCCGATTGTGAATACCGGCTACAACAGTTATATTTGAAATCAATGAATTATCAACACAATGAGCTGCTGTAAGAATGTAAGATTCTGTAAGAATAGTTCCACCACAACAATGAGTTACTCCTTTATTATTCCCACTACAATCCATTCGTAGTGAAACAATGATTGACCAACTATGTTGTACAGCTCCTTCACCACCAATTATTCGTGATTGACAAATATTTACATTCTTATAACCACAGCCACATGGTACTTTACTTTTGTTACAATCATAAGTCATTTGAGGTTTTTGTACAACTGTTATATTCAATGATACATTATGTTTATTTATAATAGAATTTATCCAATCATTATAATAAGCTAATCGAGTATAAATACTCGGATATTCGAAAATTCCACATCTTGTATAACTTACAATACCAATCTAAACAAAATTAATCAAAAATAAGAATAACACTTATCACTTTAACAAAGATAAATGGAACAATAAACTTTCTTATAAGGTTTAATAATACACGTAAGGTGTCCTTAACACAGCATTTGACCCTGGACGAAGAATAAAAAACGTATTAACTACTATTCGATATAACATTTATCTGTCTAATAAAAATTCTAATTTATATTCTAGACTCGATGCTGTTTCAACTTTAATAATATTATGCTGTCAAAAAAATCTTCTTTTTTTTCTTCAACTATTCTCTGTAGAAAATTTTATTTTTACCTGTTCCCAACGATTACCTATCCATTGCAACACTGGTCCACCTATCATAAATGAGATGATTAATTATTTTTAATATCTAAAATAACTTACCACGACATGTACCTAATTAAGAAAAAGATATTTGAAATTATGTAAAATTAATCATAACAAAAAAACAAACCTTTACCACCTTGATAAATTCCAGTACATATTTGTTTTTCTGGATCAATAAATGATCGACGACATATTGAATCATTATTATCAATGGTAAATAATTCTGTTTGCTGCAGATTATTGCTTAAATTATTATGATCATTCTCTTTTGATCCGTATCCAATGACAATTAATCGTGCTCCATTTGACGGATAATTGGTTACATTTATTGAGATATTAATCTCTGATAAACATGTTTTTGCATGAAATGAATTTTCATCAATATCGAGTGGGATATCAAGTTCTAAAAGAGCGATATCATTTTTAAATCCATCTTTATGCCCTGTATAATTAGGATGTATGAAGATGTTTTTCACTGAATGCTCTATCGCATCAATGTCTGTTCGATTGTGAATAGCAGTAGCAGTTAGAATGTTTGATGGAGAACCCATATTTATAACACATTGTGCTGCGGTTAAAATAAAATATTTGTTAATAATTGATCCACTACAATAATGTTTTTTTTCAAGTTGACGATTATTACGCAAAGAAACAATCATTGGCCAACTGTATGAAATAGCTTCTTCACCACCGATAATTCTTAATGGATTTAATTCAACATTAGAAATACCACAACCACATGACACTTCATTATAATTACATTCATATCTAGCACCGATACATAACTTATTAAGAATAGATAAGATGAATATCAACAATTTTATATTCATCAATATGAAATAAAAAATTAAGTACATACAAAACAGATAGCCTACCTTGACGCATTCAAATATAACTATGTCGCGATAGTTGAGTTTTCTAGTTTTGCACTTATGAACACTGAATTTTTCTTCAAATTCATGCATTCTCCTCTAAAAAAACGTCTACTACTACTGCACTGCCGTTAACATCTCTGATTCTTCCACTGACTAATGCTACAGTTATGAAAATTCACTATAATATCCATCTAGTTGCAAGAGATTATCCAAAAACTATGAGAATTTTTAGATTTGTAACAAAGGAAAAAAACAAATTTTTCTTCAATGTACGAAAACTTTTGACTCGTCTTTTATCAGTGAAGTTATTTGCTTTCTAATTCTGATATGTGCCTACATATTAAGCAAATCGTATATTGACAAAGTCTTATACACACGAGTTCAAAAAAACTTGCACATCTTGTTATGTAAATATAACCCCATATATAAGTCACTCTCAAGTAATTTCCATAACTGGCTGATAGCCTATGTCGAGTACTATTTAGCACTATACTTCAATATTTTATTCGTTCACCTTTAGATTCAATAAGAGACAAACATCTTTTTTTCATCGACATCACAAAATTCATTACAAACTTAACATCAACATTTTTAAATTCTTCACATAAAAAAAGTTTTAGTTCATCAATATTTTGATGACCGATAAGCTGTTGATAATTTTTCTTTAATTTCTTTTATGATAATTTCGTTGTTACGTCGAATATATAGACCAATAGCTTTTTTTTCTTTTGCACATAAGAGAATTGGCCGACCATTTCCTCCTCGGTGTTTAAGTGAATTTGTTTGTTTCAACTTATCTATATTGTAATAGATAGTCCTTAGTGGTATCTTCGTTTTACGGTGGAGAGCACGAGCAAATCGTATGCCGTTGTTCCAATAATGTAATAATGATATATGATAGTTTTTTAAATGAGTAGATTATGTCATGATTAACTGTTTATGTGTTAAAAAGAAAAGAATTCACGCTTTTATATAGTCAACGTGTAGTGTTACTAACGGACATATATCCCTGGAAAAGTTAAACTTTTAATTACTTTCTAACGATAAGAAAATCGTTATACAAAAAATTCAATTTTGTGCAAGTTTTTTTGAACTCGTGTGTATATGTCATTAATAAACAGAATAATATAAAGAGAGATTATTTTCAAGATTAATCTTTATTAAACTGATTTTATTTATTTATTCTTCGTCATGTGAATTGATGTATAAGCATATTTCTCGTTTGAAATTCTATAGTTTTTCATGTTTCAATAGAAATCAAATGAATATATTCTAATCGGTAAAATCTCTATGAAATAATAAATTTACTTATTCACATAAAACTTGCCATTATTATCAAACAGAAAGAGATAAAGAGATTTAATATAACTCTAATGATTTTAAATGAAAAAAAACATTACTTTGATTTCTCTCCTTTCATATTGGTTTATATGAATTAATTATCATAAATTTATAATTTTAGTTGTACGAAAAATTATACAAGCAACAAAACAAAAATAATTCCAATTATTTCATATTTGAATAAATCATTCATAAAAATAAATTTGAGAGAAGATGAATATTTCATCAACTAAATTATATTTCAGTCCATGAAAAAAAAATCCAATAAAATAACAAATATTTAAATATTGATGAACAAAATTAGTTGTCCTTATGGACTTGAAATGTAAATATATCTCTATCATTAGCAAGAAAAAAGACATTGTTTGTTGGCTTTTTTTCAATACACAAAATAATCAATATTGTTCTTTTGATCATTAAATATTTTTGAATATTCTAGTATGTTATTATATTTATATATAGAAAAAGTACTCAAAATACTATCCATAACACAAAAGACAAGGATCAAGAGAAAATACATATTAGACATATACAATTTTTCTTACGGCTAATTATCGATAAATGGGCTGCAGATGTTGATACGACAATTTTTACGCATTTCTATCATCGTATATTGACATAATGTCTTTAATTAGTTAGCTATACTCTTTGACTTCAATAATTTACAACTGATATTTTTTTAATTTAACAACGCTTCTACTGAATAGTTAAACTATTAGATTTGTGTATCAATTCACTTGTTATGAAATAAGTGATCAAATTTTATTTTCATTTAACCGTAACACAAATAAAAATCAACAAAATATCATGCGAAAGTTAAAGATATGTTTACTAGATTTAGAATATACAATCAATATATTTAATTATTATCATTTTTTCCCTAAAATATCTTTTATTAATAATTTCTATATTAATTCTTTTACGTCTCATTTCCATATTTCCAAAAGACTTGCAAATTATTTCCTATCATTTGCATATATACACGAGTATCTATTAGTCATTGCGAGAGATGCTACACAATGATTCAAGAATAAATTCTTTTATTGATTAACTTGTAAATAGATAAATCATTTACATAAGTTTATGATTTGATGGTTCATATAATGAGATTTTGTTTATTAATATAATTGTAACTGTTATTATTAATTCTATTGGTCATCATACTTACGTAGATAATCTAACGAAATATAAATAAATGATGAAAATTATGTTCGATAGAGTTAACACGGATAAGAATCGTAATAAAAATTGTTGTTATATATTTGTAATACATTTATTATGATCACATGAAAATTTTTTATTTTCTTTTGTTTTATTGTTTAAGAGTAATATTAAACATCATAACTGAATGAAAGTTAATATTTTGGTGATGTAAATGCAACTTTTTTTCTATGAATACCTAATGGAGCTTTACTAAAAGACTTTAGAGAGAAAAATATGTTACATATTCCTCGAAATAAATAAAATTGATTGACAAAAATCTAAATATTTAATTTACTACCTGGATCATTCCATCGAACAGATGTAGCTTTCTCAGCAAATTCATTATTTTAAATATAAGGATATTAGTTTCTATGTCAATAATATAATCTATTCATTATACAATATCAATATTTTCAAGCATAGATTGCCATCTATCTGAGATATCTTCTGTTGTTCGCCAACTACTTCCGACATGTGGTACCTATAGAGCTGGTTTATCAACGCCTCATTCTATTTATAGAATAATCAAAGAATAAGTCATAAACAAATTATTAACTGATAAACACACCACACGTAGAGAAAAAAATTAATCAGCCACTAGCATTTAAAATATCTCATATGACAGGATATCGAATTTCTGGGAATAGTTCCATCTGTATTACAATTATCATATTTCAAATAATCAACTATTCATGACTTAAAGACGCAGGTCGATTAGTACATATTTATATAACCAACATCTAGATTGATAATAGAAATTTTCAATCAATAATCCTACCGAATAGATAGATATGTTTAATGTACCTGAATAAAAACCAAATTTCAATTTCCTTGAGTAAACATAATCACTAAGTGCGGATATTCCAGTTGGAAAAGCTTGTGAATCTGCTTGAATAATACCCGGAGCATCACGACTTACATCCCAGCAATCATCTAAATTAACTACAAATAAAAATAGAAAAAAAAATCATTAGATATTTTTATAAAAAAAATAGATAATAACATAACAGACTAACTACATTGATATCCAGCTGCCAGAAGACCTGTAGCTACAATAGTATTTGCTAATTATTGAATAAGTTTTTCATTAACATTACATTCAACATAATTCCAACTATTCTATTCTAACAAAATTGAAATACCAGCGTTGATTTATGTACATAAATAGAAACTTATAAGTAGTTTATAAGATAAAACATGAGATACTTATAATATACATCATAAATTCACAGTATCTTTAGAATTTATAATCCTTCCGACAGACGATAAATCATGTTCTTAGAATAATAACCTATTTGTTCTTACTATATTTAGTATGAAAATTATTTTTTAAACCTACTCATTTGAGATGTTCTTTGTAAACTATTATTGAGTGTAGAAAAAAATTCAATAAAGACTAATAAAAATAATATTTTTGACAATAAATGAAACGTAAATGTATCTAAGTATGCATTGTTATCTTCAAGTATGGTTCTATTCAGCCTACACGTCTTATCTTTAACTATCTAGTTCTTTCATTGTAGTATAGACTATAGTTTGGTTGAACAATCAATTAAATGATTTTTTCACTGATCGACCCAGTGCATACTTTGACAAAATAATATACATTTTATTTCGTAATAATTAAGTACAGCATACTGTTTCAACTCATCTAGATATTTGAATATAATTTATCATCTTCATTAAATTATTCGAAGAAAGCAATCATTAACAATAGATCTTTTTTATCTAGTTAATGTAGTCTGTTCAAGACTTGCATAAGTAAATTATTTTATGAAATTAGAGAAAGATCCTTGGTTATAAATAGATCTACAAACAATGACTATTTTGTGAAAAGATTATTAAATAAAAACTAAATCTAATAGTTATCATCAATGATCAATATAAACATATCATTTGAATATTAGATTATTTTGTTTTTTGTCTCTTACATAAATCTCAATAGGATAGGATAGTCTATCACAAATATGACATGTCATGTAAAAAAAAACTGAAATAATTATTTTGCTTTATTTGTTCACTTATTCGTTTTTTTTTCTCTTGTTAAAATAATTACAAAAACAAACAAAAATGTCTATATACATTAACAAATATCTTTTTTTTCTAAACATGAGATAAGCCTTCAGATATTTGATGATTATTTTCATGTGATGTTATTGTATCATTTATAGCTGTTGACACAAAAGTTGTCATTTCTGATTGATGTGGTTGTATTAAAAAATTGAAATCATATGTTTTAGTTAGAATTTTTGATGATCCAGATAAATGACTTGTTCGATGTTTTGATATATAATCTGTTGTTTGAAAACTTTGTTGAGCTTTATTTCCTTTATTTTTTTGATAAAAAAATCCATGTAATTTTTTACAACGTATTGCAAGTAGAAAATGATGACGAAAATAAGATGATGTTAATACGTAAAAATAAAATGATAACGAATAATTTAAATAAAATATTTTACTTGCTACTAACCATGCAATCCATAAATATTTATCAAATTGTTGATTAGAATCAATTTGACGTGTAAAACGATATATACATTCAACAAGTAAAACAGGTAAACTTACGATAAGAAAAGTAATTAGATCGGCAAGTAAAACAATACTTAAACGAGCATTTCGACTAGCTCGTTTACGACGACGAATACGTAAAACACGTCTTTTAACACGTCGTACATTTGCAAGAATAAATATATTTGCAATAAATACAATACAAAATGGAATAATTAAACTGAGAAAAAAATCAATTATTGGACTAACATTTTTGTAAAAAAATAAATATGTTGGTGATTTTGTTAATGGACCACAAGCAGATTTACATGGTTGAGATGGTGAATAACCAACTCCAATACCAAATAATAAATGTATATTTAAAATTATAATTATAATTAATAAAAATAATGTACTCCATAATGCTGAACGTGATGTTTGAAAACAATGATGATTACGTGGAAAACGTGATAGAACAAGACGATTACAAGCAACAAATACTAATAGCCATGGAGTTAATTCATCAAATATTTTTGTTAAAAATAAATGTAGGCCACAAAGTATACTTGAATTTAAATGATGTGCTACATTGAATTGTTTAAAAAAATAAGGTCGAGATATAATTAATAAAGCGATTGTATCTGATATAGCAAGTAAAAGTAAATAACAACCACATGATAATGTTCGTAATTTACGTTGAGAAAACGTTAAAATAGAAAAACCATTACCAATAATTCCTAAAAATTAAAATAGAATATATATATATATATAATTATTTTAGAAAAATTAATTACCTAGAACTACTAGATATGGTACAACAACATTGATTCGATTTTCAATTTCATCTGATAGTGATAATGTTTGATTTCGACAAATATTAGCAATAATTGGTGATAATGTTGTCGTCACCAAGTCAATTTGAGTATCTAAATAGAAAAATAAAAGATAGACGTTATTTCTTTATTTATACTTGAAATTATTCGAGACAAATATTTGATTATATTATATATTAATGAAAAAACCTACATGGTGTAGAATCATATTTATAAGTCGCTGGTGTTGACATTGACCAGAAATATAAAGATCTCAAATAAAATATACAACAATAAGAAAATGTATACTATATTTTTGAATTTATATCTATATATATGAAAGAATTCTCTCTTTAACGATTCATCGACTTGGCATAAAAAGAAGAAGAAAAAAATAGAGAAAGAGAGAGAAAGAAAGAAAGAATCGTTCTCTAAGTCAGTTTTTTTTCCTCTTGTTCGTATTGCTTTTGTTAGACTCCACTTGTTATTACAAACAAATATGATTATTATATATGCATAGCAAATAGCGATCGAACTAATGTAAGAAAAACAACAATAAAAGGACATGGTCCTAAATTACTTTCGAAGTTTGACCAAGATCAATATTGATCATACCGATAAGAATACAAACTACGTATTAGATTCTCATGAGATTCTAATCAACTGACTTATTCATTAACAATATTGTAATCTTGTTTATAATGCAATAGAGAACAAAACTACATTTATTATTTGCGCATTTTTTATGTTTGATAATTACAATCGGAACACATAACTATTTGTGTTGAAATAGACATTTTTCTATTATTAGTACATTGTGCTATAGCTTGAATAATAATCACTCTAATTTTAATATTCGTGAGAAATAAAACCAGTTTGATGAATCTATTATAGTATTAAATGTATAAATTTAAATTATGCAAAAAATAACTATTTTTACGGAAGTATATACAATTAAAGATTTAAATGATAGCATTATAATTTGAGATGCATATTATTAGACTTTCAATATATTTATTTATTACAATAATATGAGTTTTAATATTCTTGACGTATGTCAAATGAAGATAACCGGGAATAGGCAGATGTTTTATTCGTTTAAATTTTAGTTTTCTGTAATTAGAGTTGATTATATAATAAACAAAAGCACAGTGAGAATATCACATAAAAAAGATTTATTATTGTATATATATATAGATAGATAGATAGATTGCTTTTTTCAAATAGGACAATATATGATTATCATGAATTTTTCTCTTCAATGGTTTTGTTAAATAAAAAGTTCGCACTTAAAAAATAAAGTTGTTTACTGGTTTATCCTTTCTTACTATAAAAAGAATAATTACCTGGCTCTTTATCACGCGGTCTAATATTAATTTTTGATTATTTAAAAAAACAATATCATAATTATATAAAAACTAGACTGTGGGGGTTAAAAAGAACAATTAAATTACTTCTCAAGAAGGTTCTATAGTCTAATTATAATTAACTTCGTAATTCATTCCATAAATGATCTTCATTTATAATAAGCTGATTCAATTGCTTTTATCTAAGTCGATAATTACAAAATTAAAAAAAAAACAAATCTTTAGCTTTTTTAAATGAGTTGCTTTTTCAATTAAATAGAAATCCTCTAAAGATTATAGAGAAATAGATATGAGGAGAATGTTTATTGATTATTAAAGATAAAAAACAAGACTTGAAGGATATATAGAATATCATTGATATACATGATATAAATATATCATTTCTTGATAGATTCTAATATAAGTATTGCAAGTCATAGAAATAATGTCAATTTATTTGACCTCATTTTTCTAAGAATAACTTTGAAACAATGAACAGATTATCATAAAGTAGTATCTGTTTAATATTATTATTATTCAGATTAATATACTTTTTTGTGTAATACAAGAAGTGAACTATTAAATTTTGTATAAACATCTACTCTATCTTATATTTTATGCGTGATAAAAGAACAATAATAAAGATAAGTCAATGTTCTCTGTTAATAATTGAAAAAGACAATTAAAGTAGTCCTATTCTATATAATTTTCCAGTAGACATATTTAATACATCAAATCTATTGAATTTATGACAATCATTTTGAAAAGAAAAAAAGATATAACTATTATAATTTTATAATAAAATATAGACTGATGTTCGAAGTAAAACAAGTGTTTAAAATCAAATAATTTTCACACGGCTAATGATATATGATTTAATATAAGTAAGAAACGGATATTCGGAATGAAAAAAAAAAGTAACGTCAAAAATCATTAGTACAATAGGAATTGTCATGAGATTTCCTTTTGATTCATGATGTATTACTTTCAATGTAATTATCTTCAACCGACATGGCAATTAAAAATAATAATAATGATCAATAAAGAATAGAAATGTCAACTTAAGGTTTTCTTTTTTTTTTTCTGTCACAATACAAAGAAGAGTATGACGACTTTTATTTCAATAAAACACATTTCATTTACATCACATGATTCAAGGGACAGTTGTGTACCGAGCAAAATTTTATTTTAATCATTTATGATAAAAAAATATAATTAGATTTTGTAATTGATAAAAAAAAGTTCAATCTTCTCAATTTGTTTTAGAAGATTTAAAGCTTACCTCTAATTTGTAAATTCATCTTGATTAAATGATATATAATGAGATATTTCTAAGCTTGAAGAAACGTCAATGATAGTCAAAATAATCTACATCAATATGGGAATGCCAGCAAAACAAAACAAAAAAAAAAAAAGAAAAAGAGAAATTAGATGAATACTAGCAAATGTTGATAGATAATACGCAGATAGATTTCATCAATTTTTTTCTTCTTCTTCGTCTCGTCATTCGAAGATTAGTAGAAAATTTGCTTGAAGATACGTCCCTGGGGTTTGTCTCTATGTTCTAATGAACATTCATATCCGATTTTTCTTTCATTATTAATTTCTTCTTATTCTATCAAATCAAAATCACATATCATAAAGATTATTGATGTATATTATTTTCAAAAAAAACATCTTTTTATTAATATACAAATCAATGAAGAACAAAATAAATTCTTTCGAACTTGCACTTATAAAAGAACGAACGTTAAGTTGATATTTGGCTAATTTTATAAAAAAACTTATACTCTATAATCCATGTGAGACCAAATATAGGCATATAAGCTGTGTCATCATTGAGTCGGCTATGTCTTTCTCGTTATCTTTTGCCTCGAGGTTAGAAGTTATTTTAATATTCATTATATATCATATTATGTTGAAAACATTATAAAGAAATATGATACTTAAAAGTAAACATATACTTATTGTCAATGATGTCTTCTACTCAAGAATATTCTTGTATTTTTATGTATTAAATCTATCCATTATTAAACATGAATGAAGTCATGTGAAGAGAAAGGTGAAAGGATGATATTAATGCTACCATTTTAAAGAACTTTTAGTAGGACAAAATACGGAAAAAGCCCTATTGTGTTTAATGAAAATTTTGTCCTGAAAGTAACAAGTCCATTAGGTCTACTTCATGTGTTGCTCACTAATAAAAGATACATTATTAAAATACCTCGAAATTAATATAAAACTTTTAGCTCGTTAATTTTGACACACATCATAAACTAGTGAAGAGTTTTAATATATATATATAGAGAGAGAATGATTAACCAGATGGAAAGGTTTTACTCAAGAAAGAAAAAAAATATATATATATGATAATTATGCATATATAATATAGATTAACATCTTTTTTTTTCCTATAATATTTATTCTTCTATGTCTAATAAAATATACAAAACACAAAAAAAGACAAAACAAATGCAAAGTTCAGTCATTAGAAAATAATGAAATAACATCTGCATTAACATTAACTCGTATTTTTGGCCTAAAATAATATTTCAACATAATAATCAGCATTGTAATATAATCTAAAATTTCATTATAATTTTTCTTGTCGCCCACGTGTCTGTTTCCCATCATCATCATTGTCGCTATCACTGTTACTTAAAATAACATCATCACTATCGTCGTCATCATCATCATCACTAGACACATCTTTTCTTTGATGTAATGACGTTGTAGACTTGGAAAGAGGTGTGACTATTGTTGATGGATTATCAATTATACTGGATAGAGTCTGATATGGTATAGTTGAACTAGGTCGAGAGTTTGATAGTGATATTGAAGGTGAATTTAAAGCATCAGGTATAGTTACTGATGTTGATGTATTAAGTGACTCTAAAATAGAAAAATATATAAGATAATCATTAATATTTTACGTATACGTAAGCTACTGATTAAAAAAAGTTCTAGAATATGATGAATAAACAAAATGATTAATTTTTCATTTATTAACTTCTTGTTGTTCACACGAAATAATGGAGTATACTAGTACCTTGACTACTTAATATCGACGCATTTTGTATTAATGAAATGCTTGCAGGAAGTGTTATTTTTGTTTCAGTGCTTGGTGATAATGGTTGTATTATCGTGGGATTTGAATTGACTCGTAATAAATGTAGAGTAGAAAGAATGGGTCGATGTGACTTGTTTCCTATTAAAATATATTATTTCAAATATTATAATAATATAAAAAAAAAAGAAAAAGGAAGTTTATGATTATAAATAGAAAAAATATATATTGACTAACCTGTAAAAACAGATTCTGACGGCTTTTCTGATATAATTGAAGAGGTTGATTGTGAATGTAATGTATTATATTGATGTTTTGATGAAGTAGAATTTTCATCAAAATTATCAACTTCAATCGAAGCAGTATCTGATGGTGGTAATGTGGGTAAACGTTCAGAATGACTTATATGTCGATCACGTTTCTGACGACCATGTAATACATATAATGATTGACCATAACTTTGAAGAGATCCATTTGAACGTTGAGTATATATACTGAAAAGAAGTGGATCAACAGGAACAAGATGTTCATGTTTTGTTCTCCAACTTTTATATGATACATATCCAAAAGGTTTTTGTTCAGATACATTATTATTATTATTGTTATTATTATTAACATTTGTAGTTATTTTTGTTTCATTTTCATGATCTGAATCATCTGAATCATCTGATAGAATTTTCTTCTGATGTTTTTTTTTATTTTTAAATAATGGTCGTATATAAGCTGGTGTTGGTCCAAATACAGGATGATCGTACACTTTAACAGGTTCAAATTTTTCTGCATGTACAAATGGCATTGTATCATTTCGACTATGTTGCATTACTGAACTAACACCTCTTGGTAAAGGTTCAAAAGATTCTTCATTACCCATCCATCGATATGTTTCATCGGATGAACCAATAGCAGCTCGTGATTGTTCAGCTAATGATGTTTCTTGACGATCATTACCACGATTTCGATATAAATAATTGTCATAATTTCTTCCAGGTAATGAACTTGAACCAAATGTACGAAATGTAGATATACGTGCTGAACGAAGATGACTGTATTTTTCAAGTAAACGTTCATGATTATAATTTAAACGTTGTTGTTGTAAAAAATGTCGACGAACCATATGAGATAAATAATTTTCATCTATTATATTATCACGATTATTTGGATTTGATAGTGAATTATCAGGTGAATAATTCATTAAACCTTGATTATATGGTGGTGATGATAATTGAGGACTATTTAACATTTGTTGAATATAATTTGATACAGCTGCTTGAGTAAATGGAGTATTTGAATATGGATCTAATGGATAATTTGGCGGTGGCATCATCATTGGAGGTTGTTCAAATGGATACATTGGTGGATACATTGGTGGATTAGGAAAATTGACTGGTGGATACATAGGCGGCCATGCTGGTGGAAGTACTTGCAATTGTTGCATTGGTAAAACGGGTGGTTCTGGTGGTATTGATGGCCAAGCTTGTTCTGGTCTTAACAATGGTTGCATAGCTATTACTCGATCATTTAAAGGTGCTGGAAAGAAAAAACTTTTCTTTTTCTTTGAGCCTTTTGGTCTAAATAAAATAATAAATTGATTAAATTTTAATTCTTTTTTTTTCTTCTTCTTAATAACATACGCTGTCTGTTTTCCACTATGAACAGCATCCAAAATAAATAATATGCCTGTAATGAGAAAAAGTAGCATAGCAATAATAGCAACTATATATCCCCAATTAACATTTAACGGATGATTAAATACTTCACCACCAAATATTGATATACCAATTAATGTAAAAATAACTAAAGCATAAAAATAAGAAATAGTATTTAATAATAAAAAAAAAAAGACATTTCTCACAGCAAAAGAAAAGTATAAGACCAGCAATAATATATGTAAATGTTGGTTGTGGTAAACGTGTTGCATAATAACCGGTTGCATTATGACGAAATTCTTTTCGAAAAATAACAATTACAATTAATATTATCATGCCTGCAATATAAGCCATTAGCATAAATGCTTGTGTTGCATCAACCCATGCTAAATAGAGAATTATTAATATGAATATATGGAAAGAAAAGAATCTACCTTTATTATTTTTTGAATTTGATAGTGTACAATAACCACTTGTAGCTGCTTTTTTATATATCGATGATAAAAAACATTGTTTAAATAGTCCAATTTCAGGAAATATAAAATGTGTATAATCTTTTGCATAAGCCCATTCAGGACAACATATAACAATTAAAAGTAATAGTAATGCTGAAAGATATACAAAAAATCCCCATTCAATATATGGACCATACCAATAGTCCCATTTCAAACGATTTTTTCTTAATAAAAACAAAAATATTATTTTGTTATTAGAAATTATTTAATCAAAATTTTACTTACTGAAATCTTTTAAGAAATTCAATAAGATACATAATAAAAACGGCAATTAAAAATACACTAACGATAATAGCAAATGCAAATGAAACATGCATAGTCCAATTATTATCATGTCGTGAACCAATATATGTTATCCATGCAGCAAATTCAAATATAACTAAAAACAAAAAGAAATTTTCTACGAATTTAAAAAAAAAATTTTTTTCCATACTAAATACATAGAGAATATAGAGAACAAGACCATATTTAATAGCTGTATCAGATGTATTATAATCTCGCATAAGTAAACTCCAAGGTCTATCACGTGTTTGTTGAGAAAAAACATAATCCGCTGTTAATGCAATAAGTACTAAGAACATCAGTACAAAATTAAATGTCATTAAAAATTGAACAGTTACTATATATGCTAAAAAAAAATGAACATCATAAGAATATTAATTTTCTATTATTATAAAGAACCTTTTGTATTAGCTGTAGTAAAGCTAATTGAATGAGTTAAATTTGGAAAATCAGTTGGTTGTGGAAAATAAAAATTTTGTATTGTCCAAAAATTAAAATTTTGAGCACTCCAAAGACCTATTGTTATTAAATAAATAATAATAATAATTGTTATTTCATTAGAAAGGTATTTTTTAAACTAACCTGCTCGAGAATCATCTATACCAGAATATGTTGACCAATAAGGAAGAAATGTTGCTAATGTTTGTAATAACCAAGCAAATGCAAGTAAGATAATTGCTGGTAAATGTAGACTAGGTATACGCGAAAGTGGTGATTGTTTAGCTTTTTTTTGTAATGGCATTGAATTCATACCTCCAGGTTGATTTAGAAACATTTCATTTCCTGAATCACCCATATTCGTTGGTATATAAGGAACTGTTGGATTAAATAAAGGTTGATTCTGATTAATATCAATCATCTTGATTTTTTTTCTTCAATGAATTGTTCTGCAATCTATTGTTTCAACGACTTTGATATATGCATAATATATGCATACTAACATGTAAACAAAAAAAAACTATAAGTATTGATATTTTATGTGCTGATAGAAAGAAAAAAAAAGGTAATAACCTCGAAATATTCCAAAATGCAAAACATATATCGAGACTTCGTTGTTTTTTGTTTTGTTTTATCCTTTAATTCCCTATTTGATATCATGAGAAAAAATGTTCAAATATTAGTTGAATAGAAGATATTCTTTTCATTTGATTTTCATTTATTTATTTAATTTATTTTGAAATTTGTATTTACCATTCAATTCAAGGTTTCATATTGATTTACTCAGTTATTGAGAAAAAGAGAGAGAGAGAGAGACGAGACTGTCATTTAGCAAGGTTGTTATTCAATACATGAGCGTCATGCTTCATGAATACACATGCCGTATTTTTTAACCGTTGATATAGTATTCAGATGAGAATTAATATATCGATAAAAATTTTATTGGTGCGCAGATAATAACAAAGAAAATATATATTCTAAGAAAATTTTACAACATTTTGAACAACAAGAAGAAAAAAAAAAAGAAAAAGATTTTTCTTATATATTTATTTTGTATAAAACAAATATTTAATTGTTATGTTTCATTTTCTAACATTCTTGTTTCTCAACTCATTATCTAGACAAGGACAATAACAATATTATAGTCATAGGAAAGAAAAGTGCTGTTGTACGATTTCTCTAATGCGTCTAGAAGACGATAAAGAACTGTCATAATAGCAGTGACACACATACTCTATAGGACATCAAGCATCATACATCCTTTTCAGAGCTTACAAATCAATACTAAATAAACAACAAATTATTGAATCTATTAGCAAACAAATCCAATGATAGTTAATCTTGTTTTGATTTTTCTTACTATTAACAATATTATTCTTAATGATGCAGTCAATAATTCAACTGATAATATTCCATTTTGTATAATAATTAAAAAATTATAATTTTATTTTTTTCATTTTTTTTTGTTCTTCTTAGTTGTTATGAAACCACGTATTATTATCAATCAAACATTACATTCCTATTGTAAAGAACAATATGAATTCAATACGCGACCAATGTATATTGATTTAAATATGTATAATTCTTTCTTTTTTTTGTCTATAGTATTTGATTTCTTTTTTTTTCATAGATGGCCTTCGGGATTTATTTATACATATAATCCATATGAAAAATTCGGTAGGAAAATAGATTTATAAAATTTATCCTTTGATATCTATCTATAGATTTCATTTATGATACAACATATGAAGAATGTACTGTAGAATTACGTGCCCCAATTAATGATCAAATTCGATTGATTTTTTATTCAGCTGATAAAAATAATTCAATTGATTATGATGAGGAATATGATACGTCTCAATCTAAATCACCATGTTTAAGAATTAGAGATGTAATTTATATATATTTATATCAATTTAAGATTTTTATTTTTCTATTTATTTAGACTAATAAAATAATAATATATGATTGTCTTAGTTTATCAATATCATCTGAATATGATCAAGTAAATGATTATTTATCAAGTACAAATGTTATTTATCTTGAACTTATTCAACCAATTTTAATATCTAATGATTATAATGAATATACTAATAATAATAATAATAATAACATTCGTTATCAATTTAAATTATTTTTTACAACATTTACTCGAAAATTAAAAAAATATGGATTATGTCCATATGAATATCTTATTGATTGTCATGATCCTTATTGTGTACATGAAAGTGCACGTTGTAATGGTATTAATGAATGTCGAACAAAAGTTGATGAAAAATCTTGTACATATGAAAAATCAAATGGAATATCAATTTATTATAGATCATTTTATTATTCATTCTATTTATGGATTATTTTATGTATGAATACATCGACAAAATTGTTCTTGATTATGGCATCGACATGGTTGATCAAATTTACATTGACAATTATAAGCGTAAGGTTGACCGCAGCATACAACCGAAAAACGGCCATATGGAACAATACCTTTAATGTCAATGGTTTTTGTACCAATTGTTGGTTGTCGACGAAGTGATGGAGTATTACGACGATAACCTTGTTTTTATAAATAGAAAAAAAAGTTATTTATATCATTCATTTTTGTTCTAAACATACCGAAAAGTCCATGATAATTAACTACAGGTTTTGGATCACTTAAAAACAGATCATGCCCACGTACTTCATCAATTGAATGTCCTGTAGTATAAATATTAATTTTTGTTTGTTTGTTTTTTTTTTTATTTCATATTTTTACCTGCACCATTTGTATTTCGACGTGATATATAACGAAAACCATGTCCCGTTGCATAAAATCGATCTTGTATATGACCAGGAATGGATTCATGATCCTCATGCTGATTAAAATAAAAGAAAAATATAGAAATATAAAAAATTTATTCTAACCAACTTGTCCAGTTTTTTTCAATGTACTTTTTAAACCAAAAAATTTAAAATAATTATCCGTATGTTGATCATATCGTGAATTATATGGTGGAATAACAGAACCATATTTTGGATTAGCTGGTGAATAATCATTTGAAATATGTGAAACAGCTTTACAATCAAGTATAAAACTTTTTTCACGTTCAAATTGTACTTCAGGTGGTGGAGTTGGTGGAGCACGATATAATTTATTATGACGTGTACTAGCAGTACGAGTTCTTGCTGGAGCTGTACTTAAATTAGATCTTGCTGAATGTCGTCTTTGAGGTTTATTTGTTCGTGTATCATCTTTTTGATCTGTATTTGCTGTCGATTCAGCTCCAGAAGAAGCCATAATATATGTCTATGTTTTTTAATATTTTAATCGATCAGTTTTTATAATTTTTCTCTTTGCTGCTAGAATAAATCTTATAGCAAAAAGAAAAAATTTCTAAATGAAAAGAATGATTGCATTTTTCAAAATCAATACCTTTTGCAACTACGACGACAAAAACAATATTAGTGTCAACAATATAGTTTAAACAATAGAAGAAAAAAAGAAACGTTTACTTTTATAAAAAAAGCATTTGGAAAGAACAATTTTAATATATAAAAAAACAAACAAACTTTTTTTTTGTCTTTCTCACTTTGTTTGCTGTGTTGTACTTGGATACTTATCACATGTTTTCATAATAAACGAAAATGAAAAGTTGATGTCTAGTTAGATCAAAAAAACAAAACAAAAGATTTTATGAAACAAGTATTAGAACTCTTAAATTCTTTATATATGTAATAATAAATGATTATTTATATGATTTTAAAAGGTCTCTATATGATTAAATAAAAACAGCTGATATTTTATGGATTTCTATTTATTACATCAGTGTTAGAAACATATGAATATATTTTCATTGACAGTTGTAAGACTTTTTCTTATTTATTAAATAAATATTTAATAAGTCGTACATGACGGTCATACTTGATAAATATGTAGTCAAACGTTTGCATTTCAAGTACTTTTTCAAAAACAATATCTATATTCTATTTAGATCTATTGAAATTATAAATCATAAGAAAAAGTACATTTAAAATAATGTCATCTTTGTATTTAACATGATCGTTAGTTATTATGAATGAAATGACCTTGGAATAACTATTGATATATATATAGATTGAAAGATCGGACTAAGTTTTTTTTCTTAGCTATCAATCATTTGGTTATCTTCAATTATATATATATACAGTAATAAAGAGATTGACTGATTTGTATTTCTACATCTGGCAGATGTTGTGTGTAATATAATCTTTGCATTTTTATCTAGATGACATTCTTAAAGAATATTTTGGTTTATCAATAATGATTAACATTTTTGAAATAAATCATTCAACATTTTTATAGAACGATAAGTTATTTGACATCAGAAATATAGATAATATACTAATCTGATTATAAATATTCCAAAGTTATTCACTAATATCACCCGAATAGAACAATCAAAAAGGGACTGGACGAGTAAAAGTACGCCAAGTACAAGTATAATTACTTTGTACTTAGTAAATTTTTACTTAAGTACAGTACTGTAAGCGCGCATGCTAAGTACTTTTAATCTTGAACATAATTCGATGTTAATATAGTCTTATATAATACTTAGATATTAAACAATAGCGTGAGCATAGAAATATCTATTTTTAAGAAACTGTTAAAGTACATTTTGTACTATGCTTAAGTAAACTAGTACTCAATATCAGTACAAAGTGACAATTTCTGAGTACAAGTACAATTACTTGTACTAAAATGTTTTTACTTGTATTGCGATTTTCAAGTACAAAGTCCAGAAAGTACAAAGTATTTTACTAAATATCCTGTCTCTGCAATCAAAAATAGTTGAATCCATTCCAATTCTTAATAATATTCTATATTGATGAAGAACAGTAAAAATATTTAACTCAATGTATTTTTCTTATCTAATATATCAACTAGTAAATACTCTTGGATAAACTAAAATAGATTCTTAATTAAAAATATCACTTCATAGTATCAAAACTGTATTATTTTGAACAATAAACATTTTTTTTATAATGATCTTAGCTATTGCAATTTTTTAAATATGAATATATCAACATAAATATGAAATTATATATTTGAAAATAATAATTATATTGTTTTTAATATCAATATTTTCCTTTCATTAGTGGACTCATAAACTAATAGGACATTTCGTCTTGATAACTTTTTATGATAAGGTTGTCTAGGTCATAATGGTTTAACATTGTTTTTGGAGTACATCGAAATGTTAATATTTTGTATATTTTATAAATTATTCTACCAGAGGTACAAAAAATCGAAAACATCCACCCGCAGACATTTTTTTTCAAAAAGTTTCCCACAATTTTCCGAATTTTCTCCAAATAATAATTTCGAATTTAAAAATTCATGAATAAAATAAAATTTGTTTGATTTATTTTTGACTGAAACATTCTATTTCATCTTGTATATATTTTTCATAATATTAATCTATTAAATATTAATAAATTCTTATTTATATACATATTCTTTTTGTTTTTTTAATACAAATAAATTAAAAATAAATAACATACATAATATATTTAAATACTAAAAAGTAATTGCCATTGTGGAGATGGAGACCGTGGTTCATCTTTTGTATGCATCTTACGATGATGAATCGGAACATTTTGATGTACTTGTTCTCTATTATGCTCCACTGTTTGAAATGCTGATCGTACAAACTTTTCGCGTTTACAAGCAAGTTCTCGACATTGTGTTTCAAGATATAGTTTATATGTTTTAAGACCTTCGATTTTTAATAATAATTCTTTTTCTTTCGTTTCATATTCTAATATTTGTTTATTTAAATCACCTTCGATAATTGATCGTTTTTCTTTTAATTTCTGTGCTGCTTCACGATTTCTTTTACGCCGTATTTCACGTTTAACAGCTTCATCACCTACAAGTGTGTAAAATTTTGAGCGACGTCCAGTTGCTAATGTTGGAGCAGTACTTTGACGAACTTTTATATTTATAGGACCATACATTACAGTTAATGGACTTGCTGATGTTTGACGACGTTCATATTTTCTAACTCCATCACTTTGAGATTTTGATGATGAATTTGAAATACAATCCATTTTATCAGTTATCATATTGGAACAAGTACAACTATCTGATGATGATACTGATTCCGCATGAATAATTTTTATTGGATTATCTAATGTTGGTAGTGATGGAGATGGTGATGTTGGATGTACAGGAGAAGGTGATGTTGGATATTTAAGAGATGGCAAAACTGGATTTACAGGAGATGGTGAACTTGGATATTTAACAGAAGGTAAAACTGAATATACAGGAGAAGGTGAACTTGGATATTTGACTGAAGGCAAAACTGGATGCATAGGAGACGGTGAACTTGGATATTTAACAGAAGGCAAAACTGGATGCATAGGAGACGGAGGACGATGAGGAGGAGATGGTAACGAACCAACAACGCCCATGCTTGTTTTTTTTTCGTGTATTAAAAACAAATAATATTATTTATTAATTGGGAAATGTAAACACAGAGATGATTAAATAACGCTAATATCGCCAGTAATCACTACCGAATGAGTGAAAGAAAAAATAAAGCCTAGGGGATATATTTTATTACTTTTTTTTCTCATTCGTGCTCATTCAACTGAAAATTTGTACCTATACAAAAAAAAAAGAAAAAGTGAGTACTTGCCTACGTGAACGTGTGTGTATAGTCATGATTACATTATTATAGATGAGTCAGAAAAGAAACGATGCACTGAATCATTTATAAGTTTGTTCGATAGCGAATATTTTCATTTGCTAAATGTAATAAATAAAGATACATATGTGTTTTTTTTCCTCTTCTTCTTTATCTATGTCAAAATCAATGAATAAAATATTGATGTGATGTTTTATTCACGAATATGCTAAATCATTGGTAAAACATGAAAAGAAAAGCAATTTTTTTATTTTGCTTTTATATTGATCAATCAGAAGAGAGTATGGCGAAATATTTTTTTTTTACTGTTATCATATTTCTCGTCGTTTACCTTGTATGTTTGTAAAATAAATCAATGTACTATTATCGAATAATAAATGCAAACAGTCATTATGATTAGTTCAAGCTCTTATTGATGATTCAAACATATTCAAGGTGATTTATATTGTTATAAACATGAAAATATAAAATTTCGCTTATTTACTCAATAATATTCAATCATTTTACTAGTTAAATAGCTTCGTTCTTTAGACTTTAATCTAATTTGGGAAAGTTTCTTTTCCTATTAATAGATATTTTTATTGTAGACGAACAGGTTAATTACTAATAACTATGATGAATATTTTTCTTTTTATTTTATTGATGTTTACTATAAAACAAAATAGCCATGTGATTGGTGATAAAAATAATTCACCACGCAACGATATATTATCATAATAAGTATTTCGATAAATAAGATGGCCTATATAATTGCTATGAAAAAACCTATATCTTTGAGAAAATCAAATTAGAATATTGTCTTTTCGAAAGATTTATTCGATGTATTGATGATTTAGATAATAAAATATATTCATTTTTTTATTTATTTCTATCTATATAAGAGAACTAAAATTGTTATAAATCAGTAATTTCACGGATAATTAGGGCATACAGTCTATGTAAACAATTATTAATAGATTTACGATGTAGGTAATGAATCATTATATTATCATTATTATATTTAGTAACTAGACATTCTGTTCAATATGAGTTTTGATATAAAAATGAATAAAACAAAGTTTCATATAAATTTATACATTTCGATTGTTTTAGATTTTATAATATAATGATAAGTTTAAATTTCAAGTATAAAACTAGTGAATTCATTTTTAACCTCTTATTTATAATTTTAGAAAAATGAAATAAATGCTAAATATATCGTTATAACTATACTATTACTGTGGTGATTTTATAAATAAAAAAAAAACAAAATTGTAACTGTACAAATAAAAATACTTTGTTCTCAAACATCACATAAAGTTAATTCGTTTTGCCCGCTACCAATAATCATTGAATTAATACCAAATTCTTGTAATCCAAATTGAAATTCAAATGATGATGGTTCATATGTATTTGTTTCGGTTGAATAAATATAATATTTTCCAGATGAACTTTTAACATACCATTGATGTGAACGAAATGGATAAAATGAATCAACAAAATCATCATTTAATTGTATCTGTTTTAATAAATTTAAAGTTTCATCACGTATTTCAAAACGTGTATGAACAGATGATGCTGTACGAATAAGTAAACCTATATTTGAATTTATATTTGCATCCATATGTGATACCCATTCAGTTTTATCATTAGCTAAACGGTCCCAACGTTTAACAGCCAAATTTACATTGCTAGTTGGATATTTCCATAATTCAATACAAATACCAAAAACACAATATGATATGTAAAGTGATGAATCATTTAAAAAAGATAAACAACGAAAGCTAAATAGGAAAATAATCATTTATTAAATAGTGTATTTTGTCGAATTTCTTTGCTTACGGATAATCTTTATGTCGAGTTATAGGAATTTGTGTAAATTTATGTGTTTTAGGATCAAATGAATATAAATGTCGTTGAAAAAGAATGAGAAATGCTTCTGTTTTTGAACACCATTTTAAATCTACTACATCAACATCTTTAACACCTGTTTGATGATATGGTAACAAAGCTGATGAAGCTGTTGGTGGATTACACATAGTTGATGGTACTAAATAGATCATTTTCAATTAATAGAAAAATAAAATAACAACACACAAACATGTTAAAATATGATCATGAAATTTTTGATCAATATAATGTAGTTGTCTTCGATTATCTAACCATAAAATTGTTCCATTTTGTTGACTTGAAACAAATTTTTTATTATTTTCAACAGATATTGTTCGATAGGATTGCATAAGTGTATTATTTGGTAAAATACGATTATATGAGAATATATTGTATGCATTTATCAGATCATTACATGAGACATTCGTTGTTTCAATACATATTTCACATCGAACTGATTCTAAACATTGTCGAAGATGACTTAGATCACGTTCAATTGGTAATAATTGCTAATTAAAAAATAAATAATAATAATAATACAAATTTTTTTTTTGTAAAAATAAATCTTAAGTTTACATTTTGAGATATTTCTCCCACTTTTTGTAATGCTGCTAATTGTGTTTGTAAACTAGACATTTTAGATTTTTGACTATCTTTAAATATATCTACACGTTGATTTAATTCATTTTGTAAATCATCAATTTCTTTTGAATAATGTTTATAAGTATTTTCAATATCAGTAAGAATATTTTCTTTCCATGTATCAAGATGTTTTCGTGCATTTTCAACAGATTTTTGACAATCAAGTTTGGAAAGTAGATGTGTTAAACAATTAATTTCATCTGATAATGAATATGTTCGAACAATATTTATTTCATTATGTTCAAGTACATGTTTAAGACATAAACGTTTCGGACAATGATGACATGTTACAAGTGCTGGTTTCGAACATTCAACTTCATTTTCACATATTGTTGGATTTGATGGTGGTGGTATATCAGATGGTGATGGTGGAGAATCTGATAATGGAACAATATTAGACATCTAAAACATACATTATCGAAATAAAAATCAAACGGATATTGAGTTTTCTTTTTTTTTCTTTAAAATTTTTTTGTCGTTTATTTCATCACTAGAAGAATAAGAGACGGAGATAAGATAAAAATGCGAGTGTGTGTGTTAGTACATAAAACAAACAAAAACAAAAATGAAAGCTAGGATTAAATAATAAACAGTCTATGTAAGAAGCGTTTTTTTTTGTATTTTGTATTTTAAGCAAGTGCTGATGCAAGTACAGCAACACCACGTTCATAATAATCAAATTCATTTAATGAATTATCTGCTGATTCAAGTTCAATTGTAAATAATAGTTCACTACGTGTTGGATTTAAATAAACTGGTAATGTTATCATCGAATTTGTTTGTTTCTTTTCTGTTGCACGTATCCATTTAAATAATGTTAAATTAAGTTCAGTTGATATTGATGATGATAAATAAAGTTTATTTGATCGACATTTTGCACCTTGTAAACGAAGACCACGTATAGCAAATGTACAATCATCTTGAATAAATTGTTGTTGATCAGTTGAATCTTGTACAATAACTTGTAAAACAAGTTCTTCAAGTGACCACTGATTTATTTGTGCAACACATTGACGTGATGCTGTCACATATGCTTCAGGTGTAAATAAACCACCAAGCCAAATTGGACATGACTAAAAATATGAGAGAAATGAAAAAATATATATATATATTCATTTAATAGGAATCAATCAAATTACTTTTAATGATTTATATCCTTGATCAGCAACTAATTTTGATATTGATTCGAGTTGTTTAACTCGTTCACTAAAATCTGTTATCCATTGAATAACAGTTAAATTTTTCGGAACTGTATAACGTTTCCATGATTGTGGAATAACACCTAAAGAAGAAAAAAGAAATTATAGATTTTTATCATTGCAATGCAAATAAATTCGTATAATTATTACCTTTAATTAAATCACTAATTAATTGTCGATGATAATTTGTTTGTTTCTTTTTCGTTTCACAAACAGCAATAATATCTCGTAAATCTGATTGAACAACAGTTAATAATTTTGAACCTGTATTAACTTCACGTTCAAAAAATCGAAATAATGGATCTTTAATATTTTCTGTTGTACGTTTCATTGTTGTTACTTTTGCTGGTAATAATTTTAACCATGTTATACATGATTTATGTAATTGTTTCATCCATAATGGTCGAGTATCACCTGCATCTGTTGATGTTTTACCTTGTATGGCTGTTTCTATTTGATCACTAAGAATAGTATCACCAACATCTTCATCATCATTTGTTATAACCGATGACATTTTAAGTAATTTAGCTAATGTTTCTCGTGCACGTGTTGTTAATAAAACAACTTCAGCATTATTTGGTAAACCAAGCCATGATGGTTGTTGAATTACTGTACGTAATGTTTGTTCAATCCATGTTATAAATTGATCACGTTTAACACCATCAGGCATTGTGACAACAAGTGGTTGTTGTGTTTTTTCATCTTGTTCTTCAACAATTAATTTCATATCAGTATTTAATGATGTTAAAGAAAATAATTTTGACAGAAAACCATTTAATAAACGTTGATCAAATGGATTATCAATACGACCACCATAAATACATTGAGAAAGAAGTGTACGTAATGCTTCCCATGGTATTTTATCAATAGGAAGATTGGTACGACCCATTGCAATTAAATCAATCCAAATATCAATTGTATCTAATGCACATTTAAGATCAGCTTCAGTAAATTCATAATGTTTTGACCATCCAAGTGGTACATAACGAAGACGTTCTTGTATAACAGCATGAAACCATGCAAGAAGAAAATAAAGACGTGAACGTTCATTAGGAATTTTATTCATACGTAATGCAGGTATAGTTGAAAATGTTCGTAATAAATTAGCTTTAATACCAGGTGCTGGTTCATAAACAAATATTCTTCCCATACGAAGTAAATTTGATGGTAATTTTGGATGAATTTCCATTGATAAAAATAATCGAAATTGATTATGTGCTGGCATTGCATGAAGACGTTTTTCTAATGTAATTAACCATTGTGGTGCTAAATGAACATTTTTTAATAGAACCCAACGTCCTTGTCGTGCACTTGATGCAATAGCATTTTCAGCTTGATTAAAACCTTCAGCTGAACCAATAGCAATTGATGTTAATTGTTGATTTGTTTGTGTAGCTAAATCTTCAACACGTGAACTTGCATCATAACCAGGTACAGAACACATTAATACTGGTTTATTTGAAGCAATTTCATGTTCAACAATTGGACCAAGATCAAGTACTTGATCAGCAGCTAATAAATAACTTTCACCAAATACATTTGATACAAATAATCTTGAAGCTGATAAAAATCTATCAGGACGAAATGCTTGAATCATTAATAATTGATGAAACATTTTTCCAATTGATGTTAATGGTGTGATTTCAGACCATAAATGTGGAACATTTAATTCTGGATTATTTTCTTCGATCCATTTAGGAAAATCTGGATTTGATAAAACTTGTGATTGAAGACTTTTAAATGCTGATAATTTTGATAATTTCATCATTGCATCTGTTTGTTGTTGTGTTAAACCTTCAATTGTTATTTGATCTTGTTTATTAGTTGTTGCTGTTGTAGCAGCACTACCACGTATTAATACATCATATTCTTCATCATAATTTGGTTCATTATTTAATGTTTTTAAATAAATTCGTGCTAATAATAAAGCAAGTACAATACGATCTTCATGTAACATACCAAGTGCAATACGTGTATAAATCATTTGAAATAAATCATATGTTATAATTTGTAAACGTTCTAATGGATCAGTTTTATTAATTAAATGTGTATTATTTGTAAATATAGCATTGAACATTTCAAAAAAGAATTGTAATGAAAATTGATAAAGAAAATGAACTTGATTTAATGATTCCATTGCAAAATAAATTGATGAACATGCAACTGATAATGTATAATATTGTTTGGAAACATTTTCAATTTCTTTCATTATTTGATCTGTTTCTTGAACTTTCTTAGTTATATCAAATGCTTCACGTTTTAATGTTTCAAGACGTGTTATAATTGTATCATCATCTAATATACGTCCTTTAACATTATTTAATGATTCTAATAGATCTTTTTCTAAATGTCTTAAACGCTGTTGAAATTCACCTTGTAATTTTAATAAATCTCGACGTTTTTCATCAACATCTGGACGTTCAACTTTTAATACTTGTGATAAACATTGAGATTGTAATGATGCACGTGTAACTGTAAAATTAACAAATGTTACACGTGAACAAATATCAGGTGGAAATTCAACAGATGGATCACGTGTAAATAGAAATATACTAAATGCTGGTGATAAATCAATATCTTGATCACCAATTGTTATTAATGTACGGCCACCTGTACGACGAACTTCACGATTAAGTACTGGATTTAATATTGGATCATAACGTTCAACATCTTGAACAACTAATGGATTACCAAAACGAAGGGCGGATTCAAGATTCTTTCGAAATGCATCATCAAGAAAACTAAATATAAAGAAATACGTAAATTTAAAGTTTTTTATTCATATCTCATAAACATACCTTGTTTTCGTAATTTTCTTATCTTGAAATGCATTCATTATAAATTCTGCTGCTTGTCCACTTGGATCAATAATTAATGGAAAACGATTAAACCGTTTAAGCATAATAGCATTTTCTGTACATAAATCATCAACAGGTAAAGAATTTGCTTGCCATCTTAAACGTTCATCAGCATTTGATAAATATTCAACACGAGCTAATTGATGATGAAAATTAATTTTCTTTATATCTAAATGATGTATCCATGTATTAAATAATTGTTGTCGTGTTATTTGATCATAATAACCAGCATAAGCCATAAATGCTGAACATAATAAAACATCACCAACCATTGTTGCAATTTGTGTTAAAAATGATTGACTTGTTAATTCCCAGCGTTGTTGTTCAGCAAATAATGATTTAAGTAATGCAACTGAACGTTCAACTTTTGATTCAACATTTGTTAAATCAGTTTTAATTGCTTGTGCTTGTGCAATTAAATCAGCATATTCTAATTTATATTGTGTTATTGATTTTTCTAAATTTCCAATAACTTTTATTAAATCATCAGCTTTAACACGATTTATATTTGCATCATCTTCTAATTGTTGTAATTTATTTCTTAATGGTTCAACTTGATGAAGCATATCAGCATAATCAAGTTGTGCAAGTGCCCATTTTACCATAGGACCACAAGCTTGTGATGCACGATTAACTTTATCATATGTAAAATCAGGATTTGATACATAACGTACACGCATTTTTTCTCGTATATCTTCTTGAACATGTTCAGTTCGAAATTGTATAATTGTATTTATAAAATCATCTTTCATAATAACACCACGAATTGTTTTCCAATCTGTTGTTTCTTGATCAAGTAAAAGACAAATAGCTTCTAATGCTAATTTAACTAATGGTGGTGGATTGGGTAAATTACGTATTTCAACTAAATGTTGACGTTTAATACCTTTAACTGCTTGTTGTGCTTCAATAACAGCTGGTTCAACATTTTCTAATTGACTTGTAACTTGTTTTTTATTAATAGCAATTTCTTTTAATTGTTCTTGTAAACGTGTTTGTAATTCTTGACTTGTTAATTTTTGTTTTTCAGCTTCTTGTTGATCTTTAATCATTTCTTTTAATTTTAAATTAGCAGCTGTATTTTTTTGTTCTAATTCATTACGTTTAATAGCTAAACTTTTTTGTAAATCTTCAACATCTTTCATTGTTTCTTTAATTTTATCAAGACCTTTATTTAAATGTAATTGTTCATCTTCTAAACCGGCACGTTTTTCATGATAAAGTTTAACAAAATGATTTATAAAATCAATATAATGTCTTGGAGTTATAAATACAGTACGTGAACCTTTTTTCTGTAATTTTATATTGATTTGTTGTAAAGTTTGATGAACATAAACAAATGATT